TGTACAATGTTTATATTGCAAGAGCCCTTGAACTATATTTAGATATTGAAAATCCAAACTTATTTCTTATTGCACTTGAAGATGCTTTTACAACACTTTTTGCTTTTGATGAAGAAATAATTACCAGACATTCTAAATTGGAAATTAAACCCTATGAAAATGATCTTTTATCACAATTTATACCAACTGCATTACAGAAAGAAAAAGATGGTTTTGATGAATTATTTGATTTATTGATTTATTCAAAAAGTAATGGTTTTATGTATTATCTTTTTGATCAACAACTTATTTCAACTGATAATATTATTAACTCTTTTGAAATATTGATGGTTTTAGTAAATAAGTCACAAAGAAGAGCTGCTTTGTTTTATAATGAAGATGATGAAATAATGTTATTAACATATTTCTTTCAAAAGATGAAAAGAGTAATTGATTTGACCATGATCAATTCTGAGGACAAAATACACTCAATACAAGATCTTAGTCACATATATTTACTTACAAAGAAATTTTTAGGTAAGAAATTGTTTATAGTTAATGAATTTTTAGAAAACCTCTCTAATGTTTCTAAATTAGTATTTAATGATGTGTTAGAAAGTATAAATAGATCAATCAGACAACAATCAATTAATATATATTTTACTAAACCAGATAGTCATAAAACTTTGTTGAATTATGTTAAATCAAAAATTAAAATAGGCGAAGTTTTTCAGGGACAAAATTATAACATCTTTGCAGATAAAATTCTTTATTTCTTACATGACGCACTTAAAACTCAAATATTCACGATTGTATTTGAAAAAGATCAATCTGATAATTTAATAAGATGTATTGATGAAATTGTGGGGTATGTGATTTTTATGAATCGTACCAATATGTCTTATTATTTTAATTACCTTAAAAACATCATTTTATTAATCTCATGGCCTTATGATAAATTCTTAGATAAATACAAAGAATTAGAGAATGTCATTTATGATAGAGATTTAAGATCATTAATTAAGTGTAGAAAAGATAAAGAAAAGATAAAAAATTTGATTGTAAAAAATATCAAATAAAACATCAAATTAACCTACTTTTTATTAGCAAATATTTTAA